AAGCTGGAGCCGGGCCTGGGGAGTCCCCATCCCAGCTCCGGCCCCTGCAGCCAAGACACAAGCAACTGCCAAGCTGCCCCAGCGGGAGGAGGCGGGGCCGATGCCCACCTGTGGGGCGGGGAGGCTCCGAACAGGCATTAGTGAGCACCAGACACGGGGCGCTAAAGGGCTTAGGATTCTTCCAGAACCGGCAGCCCCACACGGCACTCCTGTCCCTCCCAGCCGGCCCCCTTACCCTGAGTGTGAGCTCCAAGGGTGGAAGCCTGGGGCCGGGGGTGGGCTTCACTGGGGGGGCTGGGGGTCTCGGGGGAAGGGCCAGGACCCAGAAGCACTGGTGACAGAGACCAGGTCAGAGCCAGTGAGGCTCCTGCTCTCCACTGACACCCACTGAGCAGTTCTCTCCCGCCGCCCCCAGTTGGAACCCAAAGGCCCAGAACTCCAGTCTCTAGTTTCCTTGGGCTGCGGGGAAGGGCTCACCATGCAGGACGTTCAGTTATGTGTTCAAAATGATTAAGCACCCTATCACGTGCCCAGCACCGAGCTATCTGCTGGGTATTGGGAAGATGCTAACCCTGTCCTCTGACTCTCTCCGGGTGTCCAGGGTGCTGGTCTGCTGCTGCCATGGGCACAGACTTGAGTGAGTGTGGGATAAGTGAGGGAAGTGAAGTTGGGACAAGACTCACCATAAGCAGAGTTCCCTGTGCCAGACTGACTCCCGGTAGCTCCGTCTGTGAAGGGACAGAGGGCAAAGATGGGGGCCGGGGAGAGCTTCATGAACAGGGATTTTCGCAGAAGGAACGAGACCCCTGCCTGCACAGTATCCATGGCCCTCAGAGCCACGTGCAGCTATGGCTGCAGCTGCAGCCTCCCCTTCCGTTTACCTTGGCAGTCACTGTGCTCCATGGATTCCTGGTTCCCAGCGGGATCCACATCAGTCCTAGGAGGACATGGCCATGACTCAGTGCAGTTGTACATCTTGCCCCACCCCCCACCCAGGCCTTCAGCTTCCTCTCTTATGGTGGGAACTTTCTCCTTAGGAGACCCGGGAGCCCCTCACTTACCCACGAGGTCCCCTGATATCCACACAGCCCCTGGAGTTATGCCATCCACAGTATGGGTCCTGAGAAGCCAGGCAGCTCCTAGGGAAAACAGTCATGTGAGGCTGGGACCTTCTCCATTCCAATCACATTCCATTCACCTGCCTCTTCTACTCTCACCCTGGCCTACAGAAGGCTTTTAGCCCAATATTCCCGTCCTATCTGGCCCAAACCCTATTCCAGACCCTGCAGAATGCTGGAGGCATCTCCCCACCAACCACCCCCTGTATTTCCCCCCAATGCCTGCATTCCAGAGTTCCTGCCGGCCCAGGGAGCCCACCCAGGCAGGGCCCAGCTCAGGCCCCTCTCACCTCCGACAGGCTCCATGCCGGGCACACCGGCTGAGAGGGAGGTAGATGATGCAGCCAGAAAAAGCCACAAAGAGCCTGTGACCTTCAGTGTCCAGCTCCAGTCCTATCACCTGCCGTGCTGTTTGGGCCGCCCGCTTCCCACTGCACCTAGGGGGAGGCCAAAGGAATCAAAGAGGGGCAGGCCTGGTGAGGTTCTTTTTCCCCTGAAGGTGGTGAGAGGGACAAGCAACTAAGTATGGCTCATGGAGCTGAGGTCCCTGAGTGCCCACCCTGCCCCACCGCACTGTCCGGCTTCTCACCAAGCCCCTCTCTCTACGCCATAGCTTCTGCCCTGTAGAAGCCAATGTTGGAGCTCCCACCCCATTCCCACATCCCCATCTACCATCTCACATCCCATTCCTGTTCTGCAGGCCGCCCGCCAGACAAAGGCCTCATGTCCTCACCGGGAGGGGCTGTAGGCATTGATCTCTTCCAACAGGATGGGCTCCCGTCCTCCAGATTGTCCCCCTGGGGGCAGCACCTTCAGCACTGTTCCATCATTGGAGCCAAGGAACAGGACTGTGGTGTTACGATAGGGACCAGCCGTGCCATCCACAGCTACCTGGGTCAGTAGGGCCCTGGAGAAATAAGCCTTAGGTCAGGGCAACCCGCTAGTGGAAGGTTGGTGCTCCAAGGACAGCCCATGTGCCCTGGTACCCACGCCTGGGTCCTTCCCCAACCCAGGGCTTCCCTTCCCTTCCACTTTCATGGGCACTTCCTCCCACTACTGTGATTTACCTGGTGGGGTCAGAGAAGGGGAGTGGCTGAGATGGGAGGGTAGTGGTCAGTGTTTTTTTAGCCCCATACCTGCTGGTGAGGGTAAGGAGAGGCTGGTGGGTGGCAGGTGGCACAGTGGGGTCCAGCAGTGGGTGAGCCTTGATGAAAGTCAGGACATCATCAGGGAGATCTCGAGAAGAGGGGAATAAGGCAGCTACACCCACTCCTGCACAGGATCCTGGCCTGGTGGGCACATGGGAAGGGGCAGCCTTAGGGCAGGGAGCTGGGACGTAGGCTCTGTGCTGCCCACACACGCTGCTCCTAAACATGACGGGTAGCCCTTGCTTCCCCTCCACACACTCACACTACTGCTTCCCTTCCCAGTTGCAGCTTGCCAGTCCCACTGCCAACACACCACCACCTCCTCCCCAGGCACTGGACACCTTTCCCTTTCCTTACAACCCCATTTTGAGAGCAAACACTGCTTGATTCTGACCCACAAAACCCACCCCATCCTGGGTACCTGGGGGAGGGGACCCTGTCCTCAGACACAGGAGTCCAGGCCCCATCCGAACTCCTCTGCTCCTTGAACTTGCCCTCAAACCCACGTTCAATATCATCCAGGTAGAAGGCACAGACTGCAGAGCCAGGGATGCTGAGGAAGCCAGAAAAGGATGCGGGCTAGGCGTTAGAAGAGACAGCACAGCTCCTCCCAGGTGACAGGGCAGCCACCCTTCATGCACCCTATTAGGGGGCAGAGCCTGAGAGGGTGGGGTGCTCTGGATGCCATGCTAGGAGAAAAAGGATGGGCAAAACAGCAACTGGCTTTGAATGGAATGTCCCCGCACTGGCGCCATCAGTAAACTTTGAAAGAGGAGCTTGGATGCTGGTGGGACAGGGGACAGACTGGGCCACATTGGCTAGTCTAATACCAACCTATTGGTCTGGGTGCTGAAGACCCCAAACAGAGCAGGGCGGCCATACAAGTTCACAGGCCCCGTCAAGGCCTGTAAGACGTCAAAATAGAAGGCGGCATCCCCAGGGACAGAGCAGTTAAGCCGAAGCTTCAGGAAGGATGTCCAATGACGGTCCAAGGCCCGCGGTGAGCCGCCCATGTCACGCTTACACACACGGGCCACACGGGAGAACTGTACCTGAAGGGGGACAGTCGGGGACAAGGGGAGAACTGAGAGACAACCTAAGGGCCAGCGAGATGAGAGAAATGCAGTGAGTTAAAGCACCAGGACACACATGTTAGGGATGGAGCAAGGAAGGGTATGCTGCACGAGGTCATTCTGGGTTAAGGATGAGGGACACAGCAGGATATGGGGGCAGAGGGCGAGGGTTGCTCCAACCTGGGGGCCCAGAGTCTAGGGGATTGCATTGTGGAGATCAGGGTCAGGAGCTGATCCAGCAGAACCCTCAGCTACCCACCCCAGGTGCCCACCACCTCCTTACCCTCCCCAGCCGGGTGTCCTCCACGGAGACCTCTCGGAAGAAGAAGTAGACATGGTCTCCATGCTCCAAGGCATGGACAAAGTGTGGCTCTGAGGGGGAGTGACAGGAAAGGGTAGGGAAGAGTATCAGTACCTGCTCAGAAACTCCAGGCCCCATGCAGCCTCTCCCCTCTGCATACACGGACACTGCCTGCTGCCTGCCACAGTCCGCCCCATGCACCTCCTCCCCAAGAGCAGCCTCCCTCCCCCAGGCCCGCCCTGACCTCGGAGCCACTTGGAGTCGTACTTGGCTGAGCGGAGTGGGGGCTGAGGGCCAAGGCTTCTGTAAACTACAGCGTCACTGGCCTGGAAATCTGCAGCTGTGGCTGAATACAGGCTGCCCTCTGGAGGGAGGGGTAGGGTGGAGTCAGGTGATCTGCATTCTGGCTCTTCTTGGGCCTCCCACACCCCTACCTCAGTCTGACTCGGGCCTCTACCCCAGCCCTCCATTCAGGAGCATGGGGGAAAGACCAAATTGGGAGAGGGGCTAAGGTGGGAGCTCCCTCCAGCCACATGCCTGCTTCTCACGTGCCCAGGTGCTCACCTGCAAAGACAGCTACGTTGGACTGGGTGGCATCAAAGGGGCATCGAGCCTGCCCACTCAGCTCCTCACCCTCCTGCTGCAGCGAAGCTATCTGGAAACAGAGGGAACAGGTTCTTGGAACCTTGGGGTCTTAGAGTCAGGCTCCATCGCCTACTTCCTCATGTCCCCTTGCTTCCTTCCCCCACCCCTTCTGGACTGGACCCCTGAACCCTGGGCACTCCCATTCCCCCACCCCTACTAGTCTGTCCGCAACAAACTGTCCACTTGAGTTTTCCTCCCATACCCATCCTGACCCCCGCACTCTCGCCTTTGTACCCCATAACTGCGGCACACGGGGCTGAATGAGTTCGTTCCACAAGCAAGGAGTGTCTGTGAGTCCGAGGGAACGAGAACTCGAATGTAGTTGTAGCACTCGTCCTAGAGAACACAAACCTCTATGTCAGTGACAGGGTCCCTGGGACTGGGACAGGGGGTCACAGGAAGTAAGTCCACTCCCCTTGAACAGTCAGATCAACGTGGGGTAAAGTTCCAACTAAGCTATTTACTAGCCCTCGCCTGGGCAAGTCCTTCACTGGAGCCTCACTTTCCTTTTTTGTGAAGCAGTGAGAGAAGCTAAAAACCATTCATTCTCTTTCCTGCACGTTTTCCTCTGGGTCCTGAGCTGAGGGAGTGGGTAGGAGCCTGGAAGCAGGGTGATCTTCCCTCAGATTCTCCCTCCCCTCCTCACCGTCAGCTTCCCCCGCACAGCGCAGTTCTCCATGTCCTGGCTCCTCCATGTTAGGTACTGAAGGGAGAAGAGGGAGAGGGAAAATCGTGGGGCAGCCTGGACCCCGCCTACATAGTGCTTCTTTTGGATTCTTTTTCCCACCCCCTTGACTCCCATCAGACCCTCCCCAGCCTCATCTCTGTGTGCACTTCCTCCCAACCAGCCCCTCACCTTGTTGGGCACCAGTCCCTCCCCTTCTTCTTGAGCTTGTAGATCGAAGGAGAAAACATGATCCCTGAGGAGACAGGTAAAGAGGATCAGAGACAAGCCAAGGCACCCACCTGAGCTCCTAGGCCCTACCCTTGTCCGCGTTCAGCTGCTCAGGGACAAGCACTGCGAACCTCCTGCTCTCTACCCTCCCCCTTCCTCCATGCCTTGGCATGTGTGCTCTGGGTCCCAGCATGCCCATGTCCCAGGAGCATGTGTGTCAGCTCCACAACTGTGCCACTGCTAGTTTACCGGGCAGCCACTAGTAAGGTCCGGTTCAAGGTCAGAAATTTCTGGAAGTCCAGCCCAAGTTCTGCAACCACAGCATCATCCTCCAGGCCCCGGAACCAGGATAATGGGGAAGTACCTGGAAGACACAGAGAGGTGGGTGCTGAGAGCCAGCCAAGAGCTGACACACTCCCTCAACACCCTCTCCAACCAGAGGAAACCCAGCCACGGACACAGTGGATATGTGAGATGAGTTGTGAGGCGTTAATCAAGTAACCTATTAAGAAAAATAATACCAGCTAACTCTGAGCACTTAACCTCTGCCAAACTCTGTGTTAGCATCTTAGGTGCATTGTTGCAATACAACAACCCTATGAGGTAGGTACTAATGGTGGTCCCATTTTACAGATGAGTAGCTTGAGGCTTAAAGACATATGGAATTTGCATAGCTCATTTACCTTGGAAGCAGCAGGTACCTGGATTCAGCTGTCAGGCTCCAGAGCTGAGCCCAGTCCCTTCTTGGTGCTGCCTTAGGGCTAGTGATTCTCTTTTGTGTCCACAATGTACTCTGTCCATTCTGGAGCTTTTACTCACCCCATTTCTCCCAGACCTCTCTTTGCAACCTTCCCTCAAGGCCCCTCACAGGCCACCTCAGCACTCCAAGGTTTCTGCCTCCTCTGACCAACTGTAGCACCCACCTGACCTGATCATGGAAATCACAGTCATCAGTACTCAGAGGGAGTCTGGAGTTCAGGGGTAGATGGTTTAACATTTGCATAGTGCTTAGAACTGTGTCTGGCACAGATAAGTGGTTGCTATCTTATCTCTCCCCTAGTAGTTATTCCCAATAACCCGAGTGCAGTTCCTTCATCCTTAAAATTACTCTAAATCCTACATATATAACAGGAACCTGAAATAGATAAAATTCTCAGAAGTGGGTTTATGGATTCCCTCACAGTAGGACATGGGCTTAGTAATAGTATTGGTACAAGTGGTGGAGAGGGACGTGAAAGGTACTGGGAACCACTGAACTAGTCCCAAGCCTGCCTTTTGTAGCTAATGATAATGGTAAACACGTAGAAAGCATTCACTTTGTGCCAGACAGCCCTTGCACTTTACATGTACTACCTAATTTAATGCCTAAATAACTCTATGAGGTGGAATACTATTGTCTGCACTTTGCAAATGAGGAGACTGAGGCAAAGAAAGGGTAAAGTACTAGAGCAAGGTCACATAGCTAGTGAGCAACTTAGCAGGGATTCCCACCTGTTCAGGTTTGGCCTGGCTGAGAGTCATGTTCTTAACCACCATACGATGCTGCCTCACAGTGAAGAAAGTTGGCCCAGGAATGAGAAGTGACTGAAGTGAGGTGCCAGCTCTCTTTATCTGTTTGCTCCCCTTTGCTGGTCAGGCTCTGAGCTTCACTGAGGCTGGGAGCCTTCCTGCACCTTGCCTCCCACACATAGGTCTCAGTGTTTAATTTCTTTTAATTTTTTATTTATTTTTTATTGAGTTCAGAGAGGAAGGGAGAGAGAAATAGAAACATCAATGATGAGAGAGAAAAATTGATCGGCTGCCTTCTGCACGCCCCACACTGGGGATCTAGTCTGCAACCCGGGCATGTGGCTTGAATGGGAATCAAATCGTGATCTCCAGGTTCATAGGTCAACACTCAACCACTGAGCTATGCTGGCCGGGCCTCAGTGTCTAATTTCTAAGCTCACACCCCAAGAGTGTGGTACTGGGCACTCACCTTGCAGGTCAGAGATCAGCAGAGGAAGGGGATCTCGGGGAAAGGAGGCCTGGGTGTGGGGAAGTGAGAGCAGCAGCAGCAGGAGCAGCAAGGGCATGAAGTAGGGGGCACGGGGCATCCTGTGCGGGGCAGCTCAGGCCCCAGGGGGTGCCCCCTCACCCATATGCTGGCCCTGAAAGAGGACACAGAGAACAGTGGGGGCAGGGCCCAATTCTCTCCACCCTGGAAGCAGGCAGGCTCCTCCCCCTGGTCTATCCCCAGAAGACCCTAGGGAATGGGGGAAAGAACCCTCTCTCTGGCACTGCCTTCCTCCAACCAACTGTCACTGTCACTCAAGGCCCTACCCTCTCCAACTGGCCCAGGCTGGCTGGTGCGAGGCCTGCCTGCATGACCCCAGGTAAGGACAGGACACCCCGCTCCCCTCCCAGCCTTCTCACTCAGCCTATCCTCACTCCAGACTGGGCCTGGGACATTCAGTAGATGACACCTCCTGGCCCCCCTCTTGCTAACCCCTTCCCAGCTATAATTAGACACTAAAGCCTTAAAATTATAAATAGTGACTCCTTGGCACTGGGAGGAGGAAGAGGGCACCATGTCTGACTCCCCCTACATTTCAGGCCCCCAGGGCACCCTGGAAGCACCACAGGCACTGAGCCCGGGCAGAGGCAGCTGTGAGATGGCCACTGTCCTCTTTAGGGTTGAGGAAGAGCACAGTTGGGGAAGGCAGCCTAAGGGTCATTGTCCCGGTCTAAACTCATGTTTCAGGGGCCCTCCCCATTGCTAGGGAGAAGCTGGGGTGGGGGCGGGGGGAGTGAGGGGAGTTGCTGCTGTCTTAGCCAAAAATGAATCTGCATCAAAGCCAGATCAGAGGCTAAATTTAGCTCTGGCTGCAGCTGTCTGCCCGACCACTGTGCCCCTTCCCAGCCTCTCTATCCCCCTGCTCCCTCCCGGCTCCTAAGAACCAGTGCTTCTACTTAATGGGAAGAGGGGGAAGTGCAGACACACCCCCTGTGAGGAGCCAGGGATAGAAGGGGCTACACTGGTGAGGAGAAATGGCTGCACATGTCCCTCTTTCTCTTCCTTCCCCCTTCGGGCTACCTCAAAATGGAAATATAAATTATTCAATGACAGGCAGGCAATCATAGTCCAGGAAAAGAAGGGCAGGGTGGGAGGGATGGTGAGACAACCTCCCTTCCCACCCATCAGCCTCCCCTCTCTGACCCACAGTGGGAGGTGTCACCAACTCCCTGCCTCCCCTGAAATTGAAGTAAGGGTATGAGCAGGTTCCAGAAATCAGGTCAGAAAGGGTGAGAATCCTTTCTTTTGTGAACAGACAGCTACCTTTTACAGTCCTTAGTAGCCCATCCTGCCATGCCCCCTGAGCTTCCAGGCCCAGCCCATTCCATCTCCTCAGCAATTCCACTCTTGGAGCCAGGACCCAAGTGTACCCACCCCCACTCCAGCGTCACTGATGGGGAGATTGACGTCAGATGGGGTCTCGAGAGAGCTAGAGGAGGGGAAGGGGTAGTAACACCTAGATGACCCTCCCCTCCCCAGAGGCAGAGCAGTCAGCTAGCTAACGACCCTCTGGCGCTAAAAAGCCAAGTCTCCCTCCCCCACACTTCCACCATGTTTCTGGATGCTGGGACTCCCAGGGGAAGAGGTAGGGAGGGACACAGATTGTCTCCTATCCTTACCCTCCTGCCCCCGCCCCAAGTTGCCCTGGGCAACAAGTATCTTCACCCAGGAAACAAGTTTGATCTGTGGCAAGTGGGGAGAACATCCAGACCCTCTCTCTGCCTGCTCCCAGGCCATGCTAGCTTCCATCCCCCGCCCTCATCACCTTTCCTTACCTGGGTGATGACTGCTGTTGGGGTTTGAGGATAGACCTTTGACCTGATGGAAGGAGGGACAGAGGAGGGAAGAGACGTGTTACTACACCTCCTTACCACATCCCTTAAAAGTAAATGTGAATATTCAGAAGTCTAGTGAGACTAGGATAGAGATGCTGGGTGTGTGTGTGTGTGTGTGTGTGTGTGTGTGTGTGTGTGTGTGTGTTGACATTGAGCTTGGTTACGAAGGTGCTGGCAGCTTCATGCCCAGAGATGTGAGGGCAGGGGCTGGGGCTGGCTCCTAGTCAGAAACTGCTGAAACTGCAGGACCAGTCTTGGGAAAGAGGTAACTGGGAGAGTTTGTGGGGCATGATGACCACTTCCACGCTAAAACCCTCAGAATCCAGCAGCCTTCTTAGCAAAAGCGCCCTAGCTGGGGACAATAGAGGCTAATTTGCATCTCATTTACATGCTCTTTATTTCTAGGCAAAATGTTGATATCAGGCATCCCCATCCCCTTCCTTCTTCCCTGAGCAAGCAGGCCATGCCTCCCTCTCACCGAATCTCCTTCCACCCCACCCCCCACCTCGGTCCAGCCTCTAAAAACACTTGGTTGGCCTTTGCATGGGCCCCTAGACTTAACTATGATATAGCTTTAAGAGGGCTTTCCTTAGCTGTTTTGGGGGGGCAGCATCTGAGCAGCCTGGGGACAGGCTTACCCTGCTGGGACCAATCCCAGCTGCTCCATACCCCCATCGGAGGCGACTGGGGGAGGCCTGGCCGCCTTTTCTCCCCTCCTCTTCCCTTGCTGGAAAGAGGAAACAGCCTTTCTCTCCTCTCCTGGCCCCGAAGCCACCTCTGGGGAGTGGCCGAGGTCAAAGCCAGAGTCTAGCGGGGGCTGGGGACGAGATGGAGAAGGGGAGACCCGGCTGGGGACAATAGCAGGAAGCCCTCCGGCTGGCCGCCCGCCCCAGTCCACCTTCCTCTGAGGGAGCGGGGGGCGCGCCGAAGAGCCTCGCGGAACGGACGCGTTCGCACCTCCAAGACATTTCCCCACCCTCAGCTCTCAGCCCCCAGCTCACACCTACCCTCCCTCCCGCCCAGCCCCCAACGAGGACAACCCAGGTGTCCATCGCCTCGCATCGGTGGGCCCGGGGCCAGGGGCTCGACGTGTCTCCCCCTCACTGGATCCGAGGCTCCGAGAGGGGCGGGTAGCAGAGTCTGGGCCGGGACCGGGTCCCAGAGCCACGTTAGCGGGAGGAGGGGCTGGAGGGGCCTGCAAGGGCAGAGCAAGCAGGGATGGAAGCGGGGGTGGGGGAGCAGAGGCGGGTCTCCGAGGCCAGGGAAACAGGGTCAGAGGCTGGGAACCGACGAGGGCGGGTCCGGGGCCAGCGCCGACCCGAGTCGGCAGGCTCGGAGGCAGTCGCCAGCTCGTCTCTCCTCCTCGGGAGACCTAGGTCTAACAAAGCCCCAGACAGAGTGGGGTGCGGGAAGGAGATGGCTCTGGGACTGATGTTTCTGGAGGACCCCATTCCCCGACACTGTGCCGGGGCCAACCCCTTGGGCGGTGCAAGCCCAAGGACAGAGGTGCAGCCGTGACACCAAGTCCGAAACGACGCGTCCCCCCTTCCCATCCTCGCAGGGGCATCAAGAGGACCTGGTTTTACGCGGGTCACGGAGCCTTAGTTTCTCTGATGGGGAGGCAAGGACCAGGTTTTCCACCCTCCGCACAGTGCGCACCTCAAATCACCCATCTTCGCGCTCCCCAATTCAGGAGACAGGACTCGGTCGGCAGAGGCGCCCAGACCCTGCGCCGACCGTACAGTGACGCGCTCTACAGCCCCCTCCGCGCACCCCAACTCCACCGACCCTCTCCGCCAGCCAGGCACACCGCGCACTGGCATCTCCCGGGTGCCTCGCGCACTTAGGAATCTTGCCTCCAGCCAGCCGCGCCCAGTCCTCCCTGCCTCCCTGCAGCCCTGTCCCAGCTCCGGGGTACTTGCTCCGAGATCCGAGCTAGCGGGGTCGAGAGGGCAGCGGGCGGGCAGCGGCCCCGCACCGCGCCGACTTCGCGATCCGTCGTTGGGGCTCTGGCGAGGTGTGATGAGGGTACGAGTTGGACGGAGCTTGGAT